TACATTGTAGCATTTACAAAGATTCTTACAATGTATCAAATACATCAAACTTGAATTCCCCCTCTCCACTGCTCTCCCCCATTCCCCCTCTAGATTATATGTAAAGGCAAAGGAATTAGAATATCAAAACAATTCTGAAAAAGAGGAATAAAATTGGATTTACACTACCAGATTTCAAGTCTATAAAATTAGAGCAATCCAAACAACACATCTTTTAAAGAACAGACCATATAAAGAACAAATGAAATTTTTTTTGGCAGTACTGGAATTCAAACTCAAAGTCTCACACTTGGTAGGCAGGTGCTCTGTCACTCTGCCATCCCTTTTTTATGTTGGGTATTTTCAACATAGGGTCTCTAGAACTGTTTGCCAGGGCTGGCTTTGAACCTCGATCCTCCTGATCTCTGCCACCAGTGTAGCTAGGATTATAGTGTGAAGTCTTGTTTTTTTGAGACAGGGTCTCTCTGTAGCCCAGGCTGACTTTCAACTTGTGTTCAAGGATTCTGGGATTACAGGTGTGCACCACCAGACCCAGCTAAATTGATTTTTCAAGTGAATTGGACTTTTATTTTCACACGAACTCCCATATGTGAGTGTTACAACGCAGTGGCTTCCTTATAATTGTCAAAAATTGGAAGCCATACGCTATCCTTCAGTAGGATGAGCAAGCATTACTGTAACAAGTGGGTGACACTGGAAGAGAAACAGGGCTTTTTTATAGCCTGAAAATACCTTCCTGCAAGCATGTATTATTTAGCCTGGTGGTGCTGCACCTACACTGACAGCCCTTTACTGTCAGTAAGGGAGAGGGGACTTTGTGAGTGATGGACCAGGTTCATGGTGAGAGGAACATTTGATTGGACAAGAGGGGTTTTATCATTTAAAAATATTTACCTAAAGAGCTTAAGAAATTTATAAATTTAAAATTTTCACTATAAAGTATTTTAATTTCTTACAGCTTAAATTCCTGTGAAAATTATTTATGTAATGTTAGTGCCATGAGTTTGTCCTTACTTTATTTCAGTACTTTCCTGTTACTTTAAGGAAGTTAGGATCAGCTCTGATACATTCTGTTTCCTCATTTTTTTTTTTGTTTTCTAGACTTGAGCTTTTGCTGTGACAGGATCAATATTTAAATACTCAGCAACAGCCTGGCGCTGGTGGGTCACACCTGTAATCTTGCTACTCTGGAGGCAGATATCAGGAGGATCATGGTTTGAAGTCAGCTCTGGGCAATTAGTTCAGTGAGGCCCTTCCTTGAAAAAACCCATCACAATAAAGTGCTGGCAAGATGGCTGGAGCAATAAGAGCAACTGCATAGCAAGCGTGAGACTTTGAGTTCAACCCCAGTACCTCAAATGAATACTCAACAGCAAATATAGATTCGTCTTCAATTCTATTCTACAAATTTTTATTCATTTGAAAGTTGGAATAGTTCCTTTAGATTAAGAAACAAAAGATAAGTCATAAAAGAAAAACAGCCAGGTGTCGGTGGCCCATGCCTGCAATCTTAGCTACTCAGGAGGAAGATCAGGAGGATTGAGGTTTGAAATTAGCCTCAGCAAATAGTTTGCAAGATGCTATCTCAACAAACCCAACACAGAAAAGGACTGGTGGAGTGACTCAACCTGTAGGGCCTGAGTTCAAACCCCAGTATCGCCTATATATACATATCTATATGCATAGATACGTATGTATAAAGTATTCTCTCTATATATAAATTTTAAAATGCTGATTGGATTTTGTTATAGTCCTTTCATCTGATATTAGTATCAACCCTAAAATTGTATACCTTGATTTACATAAATTGCAAAAATAGTATAATCACCTTTTTTCTTACTAATCAAAACTATGGTTTTTGTCATTGCCTGTCATAAATTATGAACCAAGAAAAGTCTACATGTATATGCATGTGTATTAGTAAAAAGAATGTCATAAAATATGCGCAGAGGTTTCTAATATGGTTCTTAATTTCAGCAAGTTTATCTCTGAATATGTGTAATTTGCATAACTATTGCTTTCTTATTTGGAGTCGTGTACTTTCAGGTATGTTGTGCCACTGAGCAGCTTAATTTTTTTTTCCGGAGATACACACTGACGAACACAGATACTTAGGTATTAGATAATCGACTATCTAATATTAGATATTCTAATATGGAAGTAATGGGCTCAGTTTTCTAGAACTTGTATTTTACAGCTTTATTCACAATAGCTGTTTACATATATCTTTTTTCCTCTTGGCAGTTGTGAGTTCAAAATCACACTTGTGAAATGACAGTTAAGATATTCCTTATATAGACTTTATATATTACTATTATTATTATTATTTTGCAGTACTGGGGTTTGAACTCAGGGCCTACACCCCGAGCCACTCTACCAGCCCTGTTTTGCGAAGGGTTTTTTGAGATAGGGTCTTCCGAACTATTTGCCTGGGCTGGCTTTGAAACGCGATCCTCCTGATCTCTGTCTCCTGAGCTGCTAGGATTAGAGGAATGAGCCACTGACACCCGGCCAATTTCGTATTAATTTCTTTCACACACGTAAAGTTGAGAAAATGAGCATACCCATATTGTGGACGGGTGTGTGTGCTTCCAAGATGGAGTCCAGGGCCTGACAGGCCTGCGAAGCATGCGCTGGGCCACGGACCTGCATCCCCAGAGTTAGAGGTAGAAATTTATATCTTAGCTTCTTTGCCTTTCCTAATCGTTATGTCAAAGGAAATCGTGAACGTGTAATTTGCGACATTTTAATATGCATCTCTAAACAACTGCCTTCAAAATCCCAACGTAATAAAATTTATTGAAGTCACGGTAACTTTCCTCAGCATTTTTAGTGTCCGTTCTATACACAAATTTCTCCACTTGATCCCAAATACATTCTGCAGCTCTTCTGTAACTAGGATCCTAAGGAGGAAAACCCATCGCGTGTGCTCTTACGTCACAAATTCCCACTAATAACCTGGGGGCTCTGCAAGAACTTGAGTTTCAGGTCTCAGGACAGATTATGTACAGCACTAACCGCTCCCTAAACTTTCCAAAAGAATAGAATCCTTGAGTTGGGGGGTGAGGGGATGGGGGAAGAAAACAGGCGAAGTGCATTCTGGGAGATGTGGCCTCGACGGTGTTGGACGATGGCCTGCGCCGTACATTCAGGGAGCTGTGTAGACAGGCTCAGCCGGTGGCGTGCGCTGTGCATTCTGGGATGTGTGTCTTGCGGGTGTTGGATGTGGCGCGGCCTTCACGGGCCGAGTGCCACGCCTCCTCTGCGCATGTGCAGAGCCACTTTCTGCTTCCTCCCTCCCTGGCGTCAGCGACTGCGGTGAGAGCGTGGCGGTTCGGGGCGCTGGGGGCGGGGGCGCGGACGGGGACGGGGGCTGGGTGGAGCCCACAGGGCCGGGCGGCCCCAGGGAAGGGCCGGGCGGCCCGCGCTCCTGGCCGGCAGATGTCAGCCTTCTGGGGTGGGGCGGCAGAGCGCGGGGTGCGGCGCGCGCCGTCGCGGGGCACACAGGCCTGGGAGCAAAAAGCTAGGTGAATTCTGCCTGGTCGCCTGCACCCCAGTCGGGTCTCTGCTCCGAAATGAGGCCGTTGGTAAACACGGGCGCGCGGCGCGGTTCCGAGAGGGGAGGGCCCTGCGAGGCGTGAAGATGAGGTCCTCCATTGGAGGGAAGACACCTTGCTGTCGTCAAGTGATGGCGCCTCGGCTTGTCGCCCCGCCCTATTCGTGGGTATGACTGTGTCCTACAAATAGAGCTGAGCCATAAATGATAGGCCCAGGGTCACAGAGTGAGGAGCCTCACCCCAAAATCAAGCATGTCCTGCAGTCCGCCCCACCTGCTAGCAGAGTGACTTGTCCCCAAGTCCCCAGGACTATGATGGTGGAGTCACTGTGTGGCAAGCGTGTTTTCTCTGGGTCACACTGGCTCCTAGCACCCTAAGCACCTTCCAAGCCGACTGTCTTCAGAAGGCAAGGCCTGGCCAGTGCAGTGGTTCACCCTGTAATCCCAGCTCCCTCGGGAGGATGAAAGTTTGAGGCCAGCTTGGGCAAAAAGTTAGCAAGACCTCATCTCAACAAAACAAGCTGGGTGTGGTGGCTCACGACTAATCCCAGCTATGCAAGAAGTATAGGAGGATCATGGTAGAGGCCAGCCCAAGCAAAAAGCATGAGACCCTACCTGAAAAATAACTAAAGCAAAAAGGGCTGGGGGCTCAGGTTTTAGAGCCAATGGTTATGCCTGAGTCCCAATCCCAATGCCACAAAAAATTTAAAAGGCACAGTCTGATATTCTAGGCAATGCTATCCCATAGACAGTGTTTCACATAGGTAATTTTAAGTGTAGTAGCTACATGAAACTAAAAAGAAACACTAATTTTGAGAACATCCTGTGTTTTCTCAGTCTCTCCAAAATGTTATTTCAAGTGTGGCAGGAGCCACATCTCCAGTGCTTAGTGGTTGGATATGATTAGTGGCCACAGTGATGAGCAATAGTTCAAATACTGAATTCCAAGAGAGTCAGTTTGAACCACATCAGTGGTTCTCAATTAGGGTGACTTAGCTCCAAAAGGACTTTGAAAATGTGTAGACATGTTTTTGGTTTACACATCCATGAGCAAGGGAGCACAAGCATCTTGCTTAGAAATGATCCTAGTGCTTGTTTTGGCAGCACATATACTAAAATCAGAACAGTACTGAGAAAATAAGCATGGCCCCTGTGCAAGGATGACATGCAAATGTGTGAAGTGTTCCAGAAAGAAAAGAAGGAGGGAGGGAGGGAGGGAGAGAGAGAGAAAGAAAGGAAGGAAAAGAAAGGGAGGGAGGGAAGGAAAGAAAGAAAAATGATCCTAAATATCCCACAATGCACAGGAGAGTTACCCATGACAAGGAATTGTCCATTCCAAAACATTACTGCTAAGTGGAGAACACACTGTTGTCCATGAAAGTTTAAACTAAAAAAAATTTTTCCCAGGCCTGAATGCCAGCTTCTCTATAGCAGTGTAGCTGTTCGGGTAGCATAAGGAAGGAAAGAGCCCCAGAGGCAAGAGTCCCACCTAGTAGAAAAATCCTGACAGACACCTGTTCACCGAAGCATCAGAAAGGATGCAGAAGAACTCAGAAAGGAGCAGAGAAACCCAAAGAGGAGCAGTTCCTGACTTTTCCAACTAGAAGCAGTTCATAATCCCTTGCTTCAAGACAGGCAGACTTTGGTGATGTCATCATATCCAGAAGTGGTCACAAAGTATGTGACAGTGAAACTTGAGGACCAACTTGTGGGAGGAGGTGACCTGGGGTTGAGAGAGATGGATGACTGTCAGGATGCACAGGAAAAGCCACTTTCCTAGAGGCCTTTTTTCCATTTTCTCCAGGGAAGATATAACCAGCTACAGCTACAGATTGAAGGGAGTTCCCCCAGTCCTCCATATGTAAACCTGTTTTTTCATTCTTCCCTCACACTTTGTGAGCCACTCTCACACCACATTCATCACTTGTAACATCCAGACATGGGCCAGATCTGTACTGAACTACAGAACCACAAAATAATGAGGGAGAAAGTGTCTGTTTCTAACTCTCTGAAAACCGAAACAGAAGTTCAGCACAATGTTTTGTCTCAGTAGCCTAGGACGGAGCTAGGACGGAGCACGTTCACACTCACGGGGAAATCATCACACGTGTCTTCTCAAGGGTATTTTCGAGAAACTATGATATTACAACAAAGAAAGTTTAAATATTCTACCGTTAAGCAGCGCATCTTGTTCATTTCCTAGTCATTTTCTGTTGATGAAAATAATACTATAAAATATTAATAAGAATTTTCTCTTAATTTTTAAATATGTAGTAAAATAAGACAAACACTTTGTTGGGCTTTTTTCTGGTGGGACTGAAATTTGAACTCAGCACTTTGTGCTAAAAAGACAAATGTTTTAAATAAATGAACAAGAAAATAATTTACAGTCATCCATCAAACCCAGTAAGGTTATATCCACATGATCATATTAGAGACACTCGTATGCAGGAGGTGCTGTCTCTCTCTGGTGCCTTCTGCCCCTTCTCCAGTTTCACGGGAACATATTGTCTGCAGCTGGCCTTTTCCCCAGCACATATGGTGAGATGCTTAGGCAGGTTAATGCAAAGACTGACCAGATGCCTCACAACTCTTTCCTTACCTACAGTATATCCTTCCCAGTGCTCCACTCTCTTCCAAGAGCAGCAGAAAATGAACATATCTCAGGTAAGTTATTAATATGTTTTTTGTAAATCATGGGTTTTTCAAGTGTTTAAAGGTCTATCTATTGTATGGAAAAGTAGAAATAGGAGTGGATGAAAATCATTCAGGGAAGATCTAGAAATGTGGGTGAAGGCAGAGATGGGAAGATCGTGGTTCCAGGCCAGGGAACAGTGTGAGACCCTATCTGAAAAATGAAACCAAAGCCAAAAGAGCTGAGGGAGAGAGGGAGAAAGAAAGAACAGAAGAGTTAGCATGTGGAAAGATTCCACTTCTCTGATACATATTTTCCAAAATTCAGCTGCCATTTATTTTCATTCTGACTTTTCTGAGATCTGTGCAGAGTTAGATCAACAATATTTGTTTTAAAGATTTGCCCTGGAGAAGGTTAAGCCAAACTGATTCCTTGTGGAATCTGAAGTAAGGAAAAATGTCTGTTGCTCTTCATGTAAGTGACAATCCAGATCTTTACAATAACAGCTGGAAAGTAAATGCACTGTGTTGCTCCTCCTTTTTTCTCAGTATTATTAGTAGAGGGCACAGTGCCAAAATGGGGCTTTTAATACAGTTTTTCAGGTAATTTAAAAAGAGCTTAAGGAAGACAATTTGTCAAAAAAAATAAAAGGGCAGATTGATGGTGTAGGCTCAGCTGACCAAATGTAAAGAGTTGAAAAGGATTGTGAAGAATGGTCCAATTTTAGTTGTTACAGAGTATAGGCTGTTACTGCATTTTAAGAGTTGATCTAATACCAGGTGCTGGTGGCTCATGCCTGTAATCCTAGCTGAGAGCTGAAGGATTTCAGTTCAAGGCCAACATGGGCAGATAGTTCTCGAGACCTCCATCTCCAAAATAACCAGAGCAAAATGGACAGAGGTGTGGCTCAGGTGTTGAGTGCCTGCTTTGCAAGCCCCACCAAAAAAAAAAGAGTGAATTTAAGAAGGTATGTGTCAGGCTGGTAGAGTAGTTTAAGCAGTAGAGCGCCTGTCTAGCAAGCATGAGGCCCTCAGTTCAAACCCCAGTACTGCACCCTCCCCCCAAATAATAATAAGAAGGTATGTGTCTTAGTCTGTTTTCTGCTGCTATAACAGAATACCTGAAATTGAGTACTTTATAATGAAAGATTTATTTTGGCTCACAGTTCTGTAAGGCTAAGATCATGGCACCAGAATCCATTTAGCTTCTGTTGAGGGCATTCTACCAATGTTCTGTTGGTAGAAGTATAGTAGGCATGTGCAAAAGAGAGGAATGTGTCTGAGAGAGAGAAGTGCCAGACCCCTTTTAATAACTCACTCTTGCAGGGCCTACATTAATTCCTTCGAGAATTTGGTGACCAAGTTTTAACATGAGTTTTGCAGGACAAACCACATCCAAACAATACCAGCATCCAAGAACCAGTAAGAGTCTTGACCAATTACAATTTGGCCTTCCTCCTAAGGAATAATAATATAATTTTATTATTTTATTCTGCTAAATGGGTGAATTACATTGATGAACTTATGAATGTTACACCAGCTTTGCATCCTGTGTGATTCTACCTGGTTATGCAACTTGTTAATATTTTCACTGGTGTTTTGTGACTACATTAATGGAGAGGTATTGGCCTATCCTTGTCCTTTAATGAAATACCTTACAATGTTGTACTCTTATAAAATGAGTTGAGAAATGATTGTTAATTTTACTGTTATCTAAAAGAGATGAAGACTGCTGTTATTTCTTCCTTAAAAATATACCCATGCAGCAATCTGGCCTTGGAATTGTTTTTGCTAGTTTTTACTTATGAATTCCTATATTCAATAGGATATAGGAAATCTAAAGAATCCTATTTCTTTTGGTTGACCTTTTTTTTGGTAATAAGTGTTTAGAGATATCAATCACATATCACACAATTAAATTCATTTTAAGTGTATATTTCAATGTTTTTAATATATTCAGAGTTCTGTAGTTGTTACCATAAATTTTGTTGGTGGTGGTGCTGGGAATCAAATCCAGGGCCTTGTGTGTGCAAGCAAGGACTCTTGTCACCAACATCACTTTTAAAACGTTCTCATCATTTAAAAAAGAATCTGTATCCTTACCTCTCACCACCCGCCCCCCCATCTGGACTTGCCTGACCCCAGCACTTAACTGCACTCTGTCTTCATACATACACCTATTCTGGAAATTTCTAACAGGTGAAATAATACGTGGTTTTGTGGCTGCTTTTTTCACTTAGCATAGTTTTCAGTGTTCATTCGTGTCATAGTATATATTGGTATATCATTTCATTTTATGAGAGAACGATATTCCTTCACATGGATATATGAATAAACATTTTGCTTATTCATTCATCAGGTGATGAATATTTGGGTCGTTTCTACCATTTGGCTATTGCAAATAGTGGTATTAACATCCATGTACAATATTTTGCGTGAATACCTGTTTCATTTCTGCTGGGAACAAACCTGGTAATGGAGCTTCTGAGTCAGATGGCACCTCTGTTTTTCAATAACTGCCAAACTTTTCCACAGTGTCTGCACCATTTTACATCCCTCCACCAGCAATATATTAGTGCTTCATTTCCTCCATATCATCACCATGACTTGTTATTTTCCTTTTAAAAGATTTTTGTCCTATCTTAATGGGTACAAAATGGTATCTTATTTGACATTTGATTTGCATTTATCTGATGATCAATGATATTTCATGTACTAATTGGATACGTGTTTATCATCTTTGGAAAAGTATCTATCTGTGTCATTGCCCATTTTTAGTTAGATTGTGTTTTTCTCATTTAGTATGAGAGTTCTTTACAAATCCTCTCTACTAGACCTTTAATAAATATAGTGTGGGTGAATATTCCTCCATTCTGTGAGTTGTCCTTGTACTGCCTTAATAGCATTCTCTCATGAGCAAAAGTTTTTACTTTTGAAGAGACCAATATATTTTTTCTTTGATTTCTTGTGTTTTTGATGACCTGCCTCAGAAATAATTGTCAAATCCAAGATTGTGAGGTATACCTCTGATTTCTTCTAAGAATTACATAGTTTAAGCTTATATTTAGGTCTTTGACTCATTATGAGATAATTTTTTTAATATGACATGAGGTAGGAGTCCAACTTCAATCTTCAGCATGTGGTTATCTAATTATCCCAGCAACATTTGTTAAAAAGACTGTTTTTTCCCTGTTAATTGATGTATGGATTTATTTATTGATTCTCAATTATCTTCCATGGATCTATGTTATCTGTATTTATGCTAGTAACACACTTTCTTGATTTACTAGTGATTTGTAGTAAGTTTTGAAATCAGAAAGAGGTAGTCCTGAAACTTTCTTCTTTTTCAAGACTTTTTTTTTTGTCAGTACTGGGGTTTGAACTCTGAGCCTCACGCTTCCTAGGCATGTGAACCACTCTACCAGCCCTTCAAGATGGTTTTTAATGATTCAGGATCCCTTATAATTTCATATGAATTATAGGATTAATATTTTTACAAAAAGGCCATTGGTGTTTGAATACAGATTTTATTGACTCTGTGATTCACTTTTGGGAGTATTTTCATATTAATATTAAATCTTCCAATAATGAACATAGACTATCCTTTTATTTATTTAGGTCTTTATATTTCTTTCAGAAATATTTTCTAATGTTCATACACAAGTCATGCATCTTCTTGGTTAAATAATTCCTAAGCATTTATTATTTTTTTAAAAAATTTATTAGCATATTATAGTTGTATCAGGGGTACATTGTGACATTTACAAAGGCATTTACAATATATTTTCATTAGATGCAGCTGTTCCACTAAGCATTTATTGTAAATGGAATTGTTTCCTTAATTTTTTTCAGTTGTTCATTGCTAGTATATAGAGATGCAAATGATTTTTGTGTGGTCATCTTGTATCTTACAACTTTGTGGAATTCATTAAGCAGCTTTAATAGTTTTTGTGGATTCTTCAGTGTTGTCTGTATTTTAAGTCATGTTATCAATGACAACAAAGATGTCACCAATATCTCCATTAATCATTAATGTATCTAATTCTTAAATATATACAAATTGTTATAAGCATCTTACTAATTGATTACCTTCAAAGTATAAGATGTTGTTAGATCCAAAATAGGCATTTTTCATATTTATTTTAAACTCTTTATAGTAAACAAAATAAGAATTGTTTTATGAACTTTTTAAATCTCTACTTCTAATTCTGGATGCTTCAGATTAAACAAATGTGCTGTTACAGGCATCAGTGTCACTCAAGGATGTGACTGTGGAACTCACTCAGGAGGAGTGGCAACACATGGACCCTTTTCAGAGGACCCTGTACAGAGACGTGATGCTGGAGAACTACAGCCACCTTGTCTCTGTGGGTGAGCAGTTAAGCCTACCTTTCCTTTTGTAGCGCCATAAAGAAGGTACTCCTTGGTATATGTCAACATGTGTAAACACAAAGTTTTGTGTTACTTGGGCTTTTCATTCAGGAGTATAAAGTAACTAAACCCTTATGAGGACTACAAAGAATCTGTTGTAAGCTCCCAAATGAGCATCTTCAGGATGCTGCTCCTGAAGCTATACCTCCTTCCACTTTGGGAGACCAAAAAGCTCATGTATCTAGCCTGAGCCTTCAGTTCTCTCTTAACAGGATACTGCATTTTCAAACCAGAGGTGATCTCCAAGTTGCAGCAAGGAGAAGCACCTTGGTTCTCAGAGGAGGAAATCTCAACCCAGAGTCATCCAGGTGAGTTGCTAAGCACTAGCAGACAACTCTGCAGGGTATTAGACCCCAGATGGGCAGTATAGGGGTGAACACCTTTGTATTGCAGATTCTTCTATAAATCCCAAAGGCACAAAAATATTAGTCAAAGGAAGATGATTAATAAAGTTGACTCCATTAAAATTTTAATTTTGTACAATAATTATAAACATTAAGCTAAAAAACATAAACATACTTGCATAAACATAAACATACTTGCATGGTTACACTTATATAAAGGTCAGAAACAGGCAAAACTCAGCTGCACGTTTAGGAATTTATATATTAGTAAATATACTAATGTAGAGTTAAGTAAAACAAAAGGAATCAAGGAAGCGCTTGATTAGTATTAGGATTAATTAATTAATTAATTAATTATCTTAATTAGTATTAGGATAGTAGTAAACACTAAGCCTGAAGCTGTAAGAATAAGTAAGGATTTGTGTACAGTCATTTGCTTTGCATTTCTTGATACGGTTTCTGGTTTGTTGTGTTATAAGTATAATCTTTTTTGCTTTTTTTTAAAATTAGGATATTTGTTGTGCAGGGGGGATTTTTTGTGGCTATTTTGAATAACCTTACATTGTGCATTGGTTAGATCGGCCCCACCATCTCCCCCCTCACCACAACCCCTGCAGTTCTCTCCCTGCCTCACTGAAAGCACTTGCAAGAGGTTTCATTGTTCTGTTTCATATAGATATGAAGTTCATCGGCCATATTCCCTCAACTTGTTTTCTTTCATTCACCCTCCTCCTTTGCATAAGTAGCCCTACCCCACTGTACCTATTTTATAGTCCTGTTCTTTTGTTGTTGTTTTGCAGAACTGAGGCTTGAACTCAAGGCCTACACCTTGAGCCACTCCACCAGCCCTTTTGTTGTGAAGAGTTTTTTTGAGATAGGGTCTCATAGAACTGTTTGCCTGGGCTGGCTTCAAACCGTGATCCTCCTGATCTCTGCCTCCTAAGTAGCTAGGATTATAAATGTGAGCCACTGGCACCTGGCTTACAGTCCTGTTTTTTGTTACTAGTTCCAAAGTCAATTTTCAGAGGGGCTTCTTGATGTATTCCCACTGCAAGTATACTTTACTTTGGTTAGTTCAACTCCTTCCATTACTCTCCCTTATTCTTCCCTCCCACATCACATTATTCAACACCTTTGAGTACAAGTCATTGATTCTTCGCCTGCAAAGATGTAATGCATTTCAATATTGCTGACTGTCGATGTCATTCCCTTTTCTGTTGATGAGTGTTCACTCAACACTGTATCATGCACGTGTATATTGTTTCATGCTTTAGTGTTAAGAGCTGAAAAAGATGTAGCTGGTTATGTTTTACAATACAATCTATCGTGGATGGGCATTTGGACTACAAAGAGAATTTGAACATTTCTTAAATGTCATATTTTCATTAAAGCCTCCCATAATACCCCATTTAAAATTCCACCCACCTATCCACATTGAAATGGGGAAACCTAGGATAGGATACAGTCAAGTTCACTTTCGGACCAACTAAATCAAAGATGATAGCCAGATTCAAATCTAACTTAGTTCCAAGAATAGATTTTCTTCTTATCAGTTTTCATTTCGGCATATTACAGCTGTAAGACAGCATAGAGGTCGAGCTATAAAGTTCTTCATAGAAACAGGGAAATTGGTGCTGTTACACATTTGCTATTTAAGAGTTGATGGAAATGAAGGGTACCAAATTGGAATTATGGAGCCAAAAAACATGCCAGTTTTTCTTGTTATTCTACTTACATTTTTATTCATCCTATTGTTCACATTTTTTGCTGCCTGAAGTAGACACACCTCCAAGATTCTAATTTCTATTTCCTTTTCTCTCTTATCCACCTACTTAGGAATATCTCATATGTATTCATTACCAGTTTTCTCTCCCATTTATTTGAGGAAATTTGGGTGCATACATAGTCACACACACACATATATTTGAATTACTTGTTTTTGAGAAATCAAAGAATGCAGTGCAATATAAGCTATATGTTTATAAGCCCTGCTCATAAGAGGGCTTATAAACATGTTTTTAATTTTTTTTGTTTTAGAAGATTACAAAGGTGATGACCAAATCAAGAGGAAAAAGAAAATCAAAGCCGAACACTTGCGGCAGGTCATATTCATCAAAGATAAAATATTGACTAGAGAGGAAGAGAAAGTTTGCAGAAAACCATTTAATCTTCACCCAGCTCCGATTTGTTCAACAAAAATTTCCTGCAGATGTGACTCAGGAGGAGTGAATTTGCAAAGTATTTCTGAATTTGTCATTAACAATAGAAACTATTCAACAAAGAAAGCAGGTTGTCATGATGAATATGAAAATTGGCCTTTCAAAATTAAATTTCATAGAACTCAAACTGGGGAGAACTTTTATGACTGTAACATAAGCATGAAAGCCCTCAGTTATAGAGTAAATCTTTCCGAGCATCAAAGGTTTCAAACATTGCAGCAAGATTTTGAAGATACTGAAATTACAAAATCCTTCTATGGTAAGGCTGACTATGTTACACATAAGAGTTTTCACACAGAAGAAAAATCGTATAAAAGCCATGAATGTAGGAAAAACCATGATAAAACAGCTCCCTTTGACCACAGAAAAATTAACACAGGAGAGAAACACCCACATCTTCACCAGTGTGGAAAATCCTCCTTTGAGAAGGCACCTGTGGAGGGTTATAGTAAATTTACCCCAGCTGTAAAACACTATGACCATAATGCACATAGAAATTGTTTCAGCAGTCAGTCTCATTTCCCACAACCTCAGAGGACTGTCACAGGAGAGAATCCATTCACATGCAATGAGAGAACACAAAGTGGGGATAAATCCTTTGAATGTCATGAAAATAAGAACTCGTGTCAGCCATCAACCCACAAAGTACGCCAGAGAACTCACTGTGAGATGAAGCCCTACAAATGTAATCAATGTGGGAAATACTTCTGTCAGAAAGGTCATCTTATTCAGCATCAGAGAACTCACACAGGAGAGAAACCATTTGCATGTAGGGAATGTGGAAAGACTTTCTCCCAAAAGTCACACCTCAGCACACATCAAAGAATTCACACAGCAGAGAAACCCTACAAGTGCAATGAATGTGGCAAAGCATTTATCCAGAAGTCAACCCTTAGGGGACATCAGAGAATCCACACAGGAGAGAAACCTTACAAATGCAGTGAGTGTGGGAAAACTTTTGTTCAGAAGTCAACCCTCAGAGATCATCACAGAATTCACACAGGGGAAAAATCCTTTGAATGTAATGAATGTGGTAAAACTTTTGGCCAGAAATCAAATCTCAGAATACATCAAAAAATTCATAGTGGGGAGAAAACTTACCAATGTAATGAATGTGAAAAATCCTTCTGGCGAAAAGACCATCTCATTCAACATCAGAAAACTCACACAGGAGAGAAACCATTTAAATGTAGTGAATGTGGGAAAACTTTTGCCCGAACATCAACCCTCAGAGTGCACCAGAGAATTCACACTGGGGAGAAACCATTTAAATGTAATGAATGTGGAAAAAACTTTGTTCGGAAGGCGATCCTTAGTGATCATCAGAGAATTCATACAGGGGAGAAACCCTTTCAGTGTAATAAATGTGGGAAAACGTTCGGCCAGAAACCAAACCTCAGAATACATCAGAGAACTCACAATGTGGAGAAATCTTACGAATGCAATAAATATGGGAAATTACATAAATCAAATCTCAGTGTTTGCCAGAGAACTCAAGGAAGGAGGAAGCCCTGTTGACATAATAACTGGAAAAGCTGACAGAAGTTCTATCCCCTTTGGCATTGGTATACTCACAGGAAAAAAAAAAACAGCTAAATATATATATATATATTTGTGTGTGTGTGTGTGTGTGTGTGTGTGTGTGTGTGTTTGTAAGAAAACAGTCCCAGAAGTCAACTCTTAAGAACCACAGAGAACTAATGCAGGAGAAACCATATGAATATGAGTGTAGGAAGAGTTTTGTCCAAAAGGTGGTTTAACCGCAGGATATATTGAAGAATTCACGCAAGCTTCTGTTTCTTTAAAAGGACTATATAGATGCCTTCTGAATGAAGCCATGCCCTGCCCAGTAACTCTCACACATCACACAATCTGAAAAATCTGTTTAGCAGCAACAATTCCTTTTTCCTCTAGACACATAGCTAGTCTTAAGTTTCCCAATGTCCCTCTTCTGTAAGTGGGGCTACTGGAATATGGATGACCAGGATGTCTGCCACAGCCAGGTCTGATGAATAAAAGATATCCCTTAGAAATTACCAGGGTCCTGTCAGAATAACACAAATGTGATTTCGAGGTCAGCCCTGAGTGCTGTGCTTTAATGAGGCATAGCACAAGATAAAAGAATTTAGGTGCTTGAATAAATATGTGGTACAGAATTCTCTTAACATCTTTAGCAGTCAAACATTTGTGAGCAAAAATCAGTCCTTTATTTTGTTGAGCTCTTGCATGTTTTTGATCTGTTTGTTTCTACAGATAATTTAGCTGTCATTCTGCTAGGAAGGTGAAAACTATGTAAGCCAAGTTTAAGTCAGACAAAGTGCATAAACCTTATCAGAAGGTTACTGGGTCCAGGAGTCCCTCAAAGATCATCGTAAAACTCACATGAAAACATCCTTCAATGTAATGAATAGATGCTGCCACCTGATGCAGTGCTTGGGATTTACGTAACATGTTAGAAATGACTTTTGCCTGTTGATTGATTGCTTTTAGTTGAACAAGAGCAGCTACCATATAGCTCAAGCTAACTGTGGCATAAAGCCACTTCCTTCACAACCTTCTGGCACCTCCATACACCCAAACCAGAACTTCTTCAAAGAGAACATTTTTCCTGTCTCCAAAGGAGATCGAAGGCTTTTATCACTCACCGGAGTATTCTGTGGTATCTGCTGGGAGAGGAGGAACACAAGTGGATCTGCTAGTTCTACTGGATGCAAGTGTCCAAGTCACTCACAGTTCCTGTGGAGGGAGGGGCACCTAAACTTAGCTAATGGGATATGCGTAGGTTTACAGTAGAGAAGGTAAAAACTAATGTAACCTAATGGATGGGACTCTTGGGGCCGGTGCAATGTACTGTGGCGATCTCTACATCTGAAAATATAGTAAGGATTAATATGATGTGGCATAACTACTATCTGTTATAGAGGGAATTCTCCCAGTCAGGATGAGCTGCATATGAAGCGGATACCTTTGAGGTCTCACCACCCTGATGACTGTTTTGTGATTCAGGTCTCTGTGACTGGTAATTTTATTGATTGAAACTTTTGGCAGAAAGATGCCACCTTTGCGGGATGGGGAGGGTGGTAGTGGAGTGGAGAGGTTTGCCTTGACACCCTGAAAAGGGTATAAGGGTCATCCCTTTTGAAAAGCAGCTTTGAGCTTACTCTTGGATTGTTTTACACATTGAAATGAAGGCCTCTGTACTAACGTTCCAGTCCTGGTATATGCCATCTTATACTCAACAATTAACCAAATGAGAATGGCCATCAAGCCTCAACTTATGAAATGATGGTATGCTCAAGAATGCAGCCGCCTGGGCCCACAGTATCTAAAATGTACATGAAACAGTACCAGTTGTCCCTCTGTCCAAACTTTATTTAAATCAAAAAATGAAAGGGGTCCTTTCAGGGAACAGAGCCCCAGGATGTCGTCAGCTCTGGCCAATACCTATATAAATCTTGTTATGTTCTTATTGACCCATGGACTGTTGCTGTAACCTAGCTATTTGACACTGTAACTGGAAAACTATATAGACATTAAAAGCACCATTCTTTGCTTCTCTAAACTGTGAGTGAAAATCAGCTGCTGAGCACCCCATCAGGGTCTGCCTGGTCCTTCCCCTCCAAAGTTGAAAACATCTGGGAAAACTATACCAGCACTGAGGGACTTTCATTAACCAAAATGGTTGATTGAGAAAATCTTCAGAGGAAACTCTTCAGAGACCATTCGGAGACAAGAGGGGAAAAGCTGTCACAATCCAGATGGAGTAACCTATGCCAGACCTCACGAAAGTTACTAAAGCAACAGGTTTTAAAGAAGTGATCTTAATCATGGCTACTAGACATCCAAGTCCTTGCAGGTACCTCTGACAGAAGGCAAACTTATATTTTTGGCCAAGGCCTTCTATGGAGGTAAAGACAAAAATGATTATTTTTTGCTGATTCCAAACATACCTTTTTAGTGATCTATCTTCATGGAGTTATTTTAAATGGATTCCTCTACAAAGTCTATTTAACTGGATGTCTTCTGACCTTTACTCACTCTGTATTGTTTTATAATAATGTTTATACTTTTAGACTTAAACAACAAGTACTTTTTTGACTTAGCTGTTAGCTATCTATCCCCTTCCCCTGTACTAATTTATCACTGGCCAAAAAACCCTAATTCCCTCAAAATTAAAAATGTTCAAACATAAAAATTTATAAGTAGTACTTAAAATACTTTTGCTGGGGAACACCTGTTCCTTACTTGGGTCCACAAATTAGTTAGGGATGAAAAAAGGCATGACATCTCCCCATTTTGTAACTGTCTTTGTTCTGAGCCATTCTCTCTGTAGTCACCTTGCGGCCCCCTTGGAGTCAAGGAAGGACAGTGATGACCTGCATCTTCATGGCAGGGGACTGAAACTACCCCAGATGGTGGACCTTCCTTAGGATGGACTACCCTCCATAACAACAACTCCAAAACCTCTCCCAAAACAAGAACTGGGATGGTGGTCAACCACAACACACCTGATAATCTGTGACTGGGACTGTTAGACCGTGCATGCCTTTGCAGGTGGCTTACTGGAAACTTCCCACCTGACCCCAAAGACTGACAAAGGGACAGTTGCCAACTTTTATCTCTGGGTGGGTGCCAAGGACATTTGAGCAGACAGTGACCTAACCACAACTTATCTTCCTTAGATAACAGTATTCCTTAGTGACCCTTTTGGTACTTTTCCACTAGACCCATATATCTGCCCTGTCCTGTGGGTTAGCAGTGAACTCTAGCTGTCTTGCTGGAGACCCCTTCTGCAGGGTTCTTTCCTAGACAATAAACCCTGTGCTGGTGTTTGAGCTGTCTCTCTGCCTCTTCCATGACTATTTCATTTCTCACAAATTCCACACTTATTAGTTGGATATCAGTGGTAAAGAAAAACTTTCCCTCATCAACCAAGAGCTATTTAATTACACTGAAATATAGTCTCTAAAAAGGCAACTTAATTGATTATGATTTCCCCATGATTGTCAATTTTCCAGTTAAGGAGTTGTTCTACATACCTCCAAATGTGGCCACCGAATTGTTTCTCCCCTTTTAAGTGAACTCATAAATACTTGTTTCGTGTACAAATCCTGCTTCACATGAATGTAACTGTGTTGGTCATAACTGCCATATTGTTCACTGGGTGATCTCAAGCCCTCTAGGACAAACCAGGTCATTAAGATAATCACCTGACATGTTAATCAAGTTGGTTTCATCCCAGGGATACAGGAATGGTTCAACATACACAAATTTAGCACATAAACAGAACCACGGACAAAACCACATGATCATCTCAATAGATGCAGAAAACATCTCTGACAAAATTTAATATCCTTTCAAAAACCTAAATATAAGGCCTGAAACTTTGAAACAACTCCAGGAAGCAGTAGGAAATAGACTGAAACAGGTGGGTACAGGGAACGACTTTCTAAATAGAACTCAAAAGGCTCAGCATCTAAGAGAAACAATGAACAGATGGGCTGCATCGAACTAAAGAGCTTCTGCACAGCAAAGGAAACAGTCACCAGATCAATAGATAGCCCACAGAATGGGGGAATATCCTTGCCAGCTACTCATCCAATAAGGGACTAATATCCAGAACCTGCAGGGAACTCAAAATCTCAACCCCCCCAATTAAAAAATGAGCATGTGGATTAAACAATTCTCAAAGGAAGAGGTACAAATGGCCAGTAAATACATGAAGAAGTGTTCATCTTCCCTGGTTATAAAACAACACTTAGATTTCATCTCACCTCAGTTAGAATGGCCATAATCAAGGGTAATAATAACAACAAATGTGGATAGGATGTGGTGATACAGGAACCATTATACACTGCTGGTGAGAATGCAAATTACTACAAGCCCTATGGAAAGCAGTGTGGAGAATCCTCAAAAAACTATAGATAGAATTGCCATATGATCCAGTGATACCACTCCTGGGCATCTACCCAAAGGAGCATGAGTCAGGTTACAGTAGAGACACCTGTATACCAATGTTCATCACAGCACTATTCACAATAGCTAATCTCTGTAAACAAACCAGCTGCCCTACAACTGATGAATGGATTAAGAAATTGGGGTGTATGTACACAATGGAGTATTACTCAGCCATAAAGAATAATGACATGTGGTTTGAAGGTAAATGGGCACAATTGGAGTACATCATGTTAAGTGAAGTAAGCCAGGATCAGAAACATAAAAGCTACATGTTTTCTCTCATACATGGAAAGTAGATCCAAACATAAACATATACACAAAAACAAGCATGATCATACAAACTCATATGTAGAATATGTAACAGTGGAAGTACTGTGTGGAACTCAGGGGAAAAGGGAAAGGAAAAAATGATAGAGCATCAGTAATATCACAAACATAAGATGTGAAGGTAGAGGAAATAAGGATGTGTATTGAAAGCTGTTGAAAAATGGGGGGTGGGATGTAAAGGAGTAAGGGAGTGTAATGGAAATAATTGAGAAAACCAAAGAAAAGTACACCCACAGTGGGCATACGTTGAGACACCCCTTGGTACATCAACTTAAATATTAATAATGAAAACCAGGACTGTAAAATAGGTATAGTCTATGGAGGAGTACGGCAGGGGGCAGGGTGAAGGAAGGAGATTAAGGTGGCGGTATATGGTAGATTGACTTCATATACCTATATGAAACAGAACCAAGAAACCTCTTGCAATTTCTTTAAGTGGGGTGCGGAGGTGTTTGAGAGAGAGAGATGATGGGGGCAATGTAAATAATGTACAATGTAAGTCTAATTAGAATTATCACATTGAATTCCCCCTGTATAATGAATATATCCTAATAAAAAATTAATATAAAAAGTTCAACCTCCTTTCTTGATGAAAATAAGAATAGAAGGAATGTATTTCAACATAATAAAAGTCTATATGTGACACACTTATAGCCAACATCATGCTAAAAGAGAAACACTGAAACCATTTTCTCTAAAGTCAGAAATAAGACGAACATGTCCATGATTTCCACTCTTAGTTAACAGAGTTTGGAATTCCTATCCAGAGCAATAAGACAGGAAGTAGAAATTAAAGGGATTCCAATAGGAAAAGAAGAAGTCCTATTTGCCAATGGCATGATCTTACACCTAAAAGACCCTTAAAACTGCACCAAATATTCCTAGACATCATAAACACCTGAAAAATAGCAGGATACAAAATCAACATATAAAAATCAATAACTTTTATATATACCAAGAATGTACAGACTGATCAAGAGTTTAGGAAAAAATTCCATGTACAATAGCTTCAAAAAATACCTAGGCATAAACTTGGAAAAAATTTATTTGTATGTGCACACATTGTTTGGGCCATTTGTCCCCCATGTCCCCATCTCTTTCCCCCACAACCCCCTCGCTTCCAGGAAGAACCTGTTCTGCCCCCTTCTCCAATTTTGTTGGAGAGAAGACATAAGCGAAAATAAGAAAGACATAGCATTTTTGCTAATTTGAGATAAGGATAGCTATACAGAGACAGCCTAGCATTACTTCCATGCACATGTGTATTGCAACCCATATAGTTCATCTCTACCAGACCTCTTCACTACTTCCCAGTCACCTTCCCATGTTGTCCTCTGTCATTTTAAGGTTACTATATTAGCTCCTCTACAGTGGGCACACCAATCACTTTCAAGTTTTGAGTTTCCTACCTTTCCCTATTCCTCCTGTACATGTTCTCCCCTTAGCATGTGACCCATGTCCAATAATGTTACTGCATTTGTTTTAGGTCTAAAGTCCACATTTAAGGGAGAACATATGATTTTTGGTTTTCTGAGCCTAACTTCACTTAAGATGATGTTCTCCAGTGCCATCCTTTTGCTTGCAAATAATAAGATTTCATTCATCTTCATGGCTGAAATTCCATCGTGTATAAAGACCATATTTTCTTAATCCATTCATCAGTACTGGGGCATCTTGGCTGTTTCCATAACTTGGCTATTGTGAATAGTGCTGCAATAAACATGGGTGTGTAAGGTGCCTCTGGAGTAACCTGAGTCACATTCCTTTGAGTATTTCCCTAGGAGTCGGATTGCTGGATCATATGGCAGATCTATGTTTAGTTTTTTAAGGAGCCTCCATATTGTTTTCCAGAGTGGTTGTACTGGTTTATATTCCCACCAGCAGTGTACGAGGGTTCCTTTTTCCCCGCATCCTCGCCAACACCTGTTGTTGGTGATGTTTTTGATGATAGCTATTCTAACAGGGGTGAGGTGGAATCTTAATGTTGTTTTGATTTGCATTTCCTTTACGGCCAGAGATGGTGAGCATTTTTTCCTGTGGTTTTTGGACATTTGGATTTCTTCTTTTGAAAAAGTTCAGTTGCCCACTTCTTCATTGATTCATTGATTTGGGGGGAGTTTAGTTTTTTGAGTGCCCTGTATATTCTGGCTATCAGTCCTTTGTCTGATGTATAGCTAGCAAATATTTTCTCCCACTCTGTGGGTGGTCTCTTCAGTTTAGAGACCATTTCTTTTGTTGTGCAGAAGCTTTTTAATTTCATGCAGTCCCATTTGTCTGCCCTTTCTCTTAGTTGCTGAGCAGCTGAGGTTCTATAGAGGAAGTCCTTGACTATATCTATTGCTTCCAGAGTTTCCCTGCTCTTTTCTGTACTAGCTTCAGAGCTTTGGGTCTGATATTAAGGTTCTTGATCCGTTTTGAATTGATACTACTACAGGGTGATAAACATGGATCTAGTTTCAGTTTTCTGCAGGCAGATAACCACTTTCCCCAGCAACATTGTTGAAGAGGCTGTCTATTTTCCATCATACGTTTTTGATACCTTTGTCAAAGATAAGGTGAGCATAGCTGTGTGGATTCATATTCGAGTCCTCTATGCTGTTCCACTGGTCTTCATGTCTGTTTTTGTGCCCATACCCTGCTGTTTTTATTGGTACTGCTTCGTAATATACTTTGAAGTCGGGAATTGTGGCACCTCCAGCATTGCTCTTTTTGCTGAGTATTGCCTTGGCTATTTGCGGTCTCTTGTTTTTCCAAATGAACTTTAGGGTAGATATTTCAATCTCTGTAAAGAATGTCATTGGACTTTTGATAGGAATTGCGTTTAACATGTAGATTGCTTTGGGTAGTGTAGCCATTTTTACTATGTTGATTCTACCAATCTATGAACACAGAAGATTTTTGCACCTTCTGTAGTCTTTCAGAATCTCTTTCCTTTTTTTTTTTCGGTGCTGGGGACCGAACTCAGGGCCTTGCACTTGCCAGGCAAGTGCTCTTCCACTGAGCTAAATCCCCAACCCCTCAGAATCTCTTTCTTCAGAGGTTTGTAGTTCTCCTTGTAGAGGTCATTCACATCCTTTGTTAAGTTTATTCCTAGGTATTTTGATTTTTTTGAAGGTATTGTAAATGGAATTGTTTCATGTATTCTTTCTTAATTTGTGCATTGTTGGTTTATAGAAAGGCTAATGATTTTTGTAAGTTGATTTTGTATCCTGCCACCTTGCTGAAGCTGTTTATGGTGTCTAGGAGTTTTGGGGTAGAGGTTTTTGGGTCTTTGAGATATAGGATCATGTCATCTGCAAATAGGGATATTTTGACAGTTTCTTCACCTATTTGTATTCCTTTTATTTCTTCTTCTTGCCTTATTCTGGCTAGGAATTCCAAGACTATGTTGAATAGCAGTGGGGAGGGTGAGCATCCTTGTCTCATTCCTGATTTTAGGGGAAATGGTTTCAGTTTTTCTCCATTAAGTATGATGTTGACTATAGGTCATATATAGCCTATATAATGTTGAGGTACATTCCTTCTATTCTTAGTTTTCTTAGGACTTT